TAACAATTTTTATTTTCTCTGATTGAAGAAGAGTGAGATTATCTTTTTACTTTATGCACATTTCATTAATTGTTTTCAAGTAATCTCAGAACATACTAAATTTAAAAGATTTAAGATTTATGTTTAATCTTATAGGTTTTCCAACTTGACCAGCTGATTTTTTATCCATATTCCGGTCACCAGATCTATGTTTCCGGCTTTGTTCGAATTCTTGTTTCAGACATTGTTCAGATGTTTTTTGTTCTGTTTTCTGTTTAACATGCCCTTTGTTTTAGTTTGTTGTACCGCCATATACTCTAACCGATTAAACCTTATCCAAATATGCTTGTTTTTCTTTACTTGAGTGTAAATTTTTTTTTTTCCTGTGTGAAGCCATAAACGGCTATAGAGCCAAGTATCTCGAGTGAGATTGAATTAAGGTTTTGATTTAACTTTGATAGTCTTTGGGTGGATCTCTTAGAGCATAAGCTCTAGAATCCAGATTTAATTACGTGAATTTTATTTTGTTCTTGAAATTTGATTGGTTTAATTTAGTCTTAGTTAGCTTTGCGGGCTTAGATGGTGAAGGGGCGAGCATGTGTGCAACCTTTGGAGTGGTTCTTACGGAGGAAGTTGTCAGCATCAATTTTCGAAATCCATTTACGACAATGAGTTCCGGCGGAACTGTTGGGCCTGGACCTGCGGTCCAACCGATCTACGGCCTTAACGGTATATTACCCGTGAACAGTGGAAGCCTCACTCAAACAGTAACCACGGTCTGGTTAAACATGGGTCATTTAACAAAACCTAGTATGACCTAGTATGTACCATCAACCTTGTACTATAAATAGAGGTACAATGTGATGTGACCATTCATATTACATTCCTATGTAAAAGAGTACAAGGGACCCAGAGCATTATCGTTCAGGTCTCTAACTCGGACAAAGAGCTCGCTGGGGGGTCACCACCGACCGAAAAACACCGAAAACGTTTACATATTTTTACTAGCTCGCAGCAATTTAGTAGTTCGGGATCTGTCCGATCTACTACGCTCTTCCGGGTTTATAGCAATCAGATAGACGAGGATCTGTCCGGGCTACCTATTGCAATCTGCTTTGTAACACCTATTTCGAGCTCAACTTCTAATACACGAAATTATGTGACCTCCTATCTACTATAAATTCATTGTTTGATCTTTTGGTTAAACAATTGGCGCTCCGGTAGGGGATTGGAGATTTTCTAACGCAAGGAAACATGAGTCCGCACGCCTCAACCGGTCAGCAAGACAACAACGTAATCACTCCAGAGACCGCCGAAATAATTCAAGCGACCCCTGTCACCGCGATAGATACGATCAACCCTCCAATGACCGTCAACGAGGACACAAGGGCAGCAGCGTCTGACCCTTCACATAGCGAGTCCGCGCACGTCACTGACGAACAAGTCAACTTTGCGGGAGTGCTAAGTATGCTCATGAGGCGTTTCGATCAACAGGACGACCAGTTCCGAAGAACAAGCACCCGCCTCGAAGCCTTCTCAAACGCACAAACCGCAATCCAAGAACAACTGGACTCCACTCGGCCAATCGAGTCGCAACAGATCTGAACGAACTCATCTGAAGCAGAACGACACGACCGACCTTCGCCCCCAACATCGGATTATCAACCGAAACACTCCCAGCGGAACTCCGATCAGCGCGCAGGTCGCCCGGCCACCACCTTCGAGAGAGCAAGATTCGTTCCAGGGGCTGGAAATCGAGGCATTGAAAGCTCG